CAGGAAATGTCAAACAAACACTTTTACGTATCTTATTACTTAAATAATAAGGCTATTAACATGCCTAAGAATTAAATCTGAGGAAATCTGAAGAAATGTGAAAAAACAGCATAACTTCTAAAATAATGCCCCGATTATGCTGATTTTCGAACTCAACCTGCGTTTTAGTAAGACTGACCATTCCTGTGAGTTTAATGACAATTGGGCTTTCTGTTTTTCTTATATTGTGTTTACAGTGTTGCATATATGCTGAACAATGAAAAAACCGCATAACTACTAAAATAGTGGCCAGATCATGCTGATTTTCGAACTTGACCTGCGTTTTAATAAGATTGATTACTCCTGTGAGTTTCATGACAACAGGCCTAATGGTTTTCCTTAAAATGTGTTTACAAGGTTGCATATATGCTGAAAAGTGAAAAAACAGCATAACTTCTACAATAATGGCCCGATCATGCTGATTTTCGAACTTGACCTGCGTTTTATGAATATTCATCAGCTCTGTAAATATAAAGCCAAAAAGTAAAACTGCCTTCCACTTATCATGTTTACAAGGAAAGTGCACGGCGACGGCATCGGCATCGGCATCGGCATCGCCATCGGCATCGGCATCGGCGACGACAGACGCAGGTGATGGCAATATGTACAGACACATCTGTGTCTGTACATAAAAAAAGGTATGTTTGGTGAGAAACTTGTCCTGCCTAATCCACAAGAGTCTTTCTTCAATTTTGTACCAAGCTACAGAGTGGTACATATATGCAATCAATAAAAGCTTATTTAATGAAAAATACAAGTTGATGTTAATGCTGAATTTTTTTAATAATGTAGGGATAGATTTGAAAACTACAACGAAGTAACCAACATAACATACACTTGACCTCAAAATACTGTTGGAAATAATTTGTTACCTGCATTCAAAATAAAGATTCCTCCAGTCACTGTTACTGCTAACTGAAACCCTCCGGGAAGTTCTGCTATGTGACCTCCTACAGGGGGACCCAGAATAAAACCAAATGATGACACTGCATTAAATCTGCCAAATACTGCTGAGTGGTGATCTTTTGGTGTAATATCTGTTATGTAGGCTTTTGAAATATTCTGGCTGTGCTTGAAAATACCTGAAAGAGTGTCAAGAGATAGTTAAATGTATTAAAAGCAGAAATGGAAATACCAGTATACATCTTTTAAGATGTATATATTTTAAAAATATAAATTGACAAAATTAGCAAAATTAACAATTAGAGTTTAAAAATCTGTTTTATAATAATAATATTCTTTATAAAGAAATATGCATACACTGTATTCCAGAGTTGCCCCAGTGGAGTCATCCATCAGAGTCTATGGGTGCATTCCCATAGATTTTAGATCGATCTATCCCCGTGGGGAGTCTCACTAGATTACTGTCAGATAATCCAGCTTAAATGTCCATTGCGCCTACTAAAAGCTGCAAGGAGGTAATTAACTTCCATGCATGGTCGGCTGACAGCAATTTAGCATGAACCCCCAGGGAGTTAGGTCGATCTAGTAAGATCGATCTAAATCTCTGGAAATGCCCTCTATCATAATAGTACATAACCTATACTTTACTACCATAATGTCATGACCAAAAGATAATAAGTGTAATAAAAAATATGCATCAGGTCACTAGTTACTCCTAATTACTGGTACACTGTCTATAGAGCATATCTAGACCACATGCAATTTGCTTTTTATATGGATCCAAACATTCCTTGCACAAACCACATATTTGTGAGGTAATCATATTTGGGCAAAATGGCACTGATATGTAACAGTTACTGTTTCTCTTCCAGATAAGAACTTAGTTTGATTCATTCTGCCTCATTTAAAAGAGTCATCACTGTCAATGATGGCAAAACAACTGTCAATTAAAGAGCAGTGTCATGTTGAATCTGTTCACAGGTTTCAAAATGCATCAAGTCTTGCTGGACAACGTTGACACATGGAAAAAAAAAGGCTTACAGACTAATAAGATTTATGTTTGTTTAACTATTTGGCACAAGGAAAAGATCATCATCAATTAAGAAGTAATTACAATCTGATCAGGTCCTGTTTCTTTATATTAGTTAAAGTTATCCAGAAGAGGATGTTACGAAAAAATCAAAACTGAAAAAGAAATAAAATAGAATCATGAAGGTGCATTTATGTTACTCGGTATAAAATACGAATTGAAGAAAATTAACCACTGTGAAATTAACTTTATAGAAAAAATTGAAAAAATGAAAAATATCCTGGAAGTTTGGTCCTTGAGAAATCTTTCAATAATAGGAAAGGTAACAGTGGTTAAAACTTTAATATTTCCTATCTTGGTGCATATACTAACTGCCCTGCCAAACCCCCCAGACTGTATCTTTAAAACTATAGATACAATCATATTTAACTTAATCTGGAATTGGAAAAGAGACAAAACAAAACAAGCAACAATATTGTCTGATTACGAAAATGGAGGGCTTAAGGTACCACAAATAAAACTTTTTACTAAGGCTCTAAAACTTTCATGGCTAAAAAGACTTTTGGATGAAAAAAACGACAGTAAGTGGAAAATGCTTTTTCTCAGTGAACTGTCAGAAATCAAGGGTAATAAAATATGGACCTTGACAAAAGGGGGATTAAAAACACTACAAGCAACTTATAACCCCTTTTAGCAAAATTCTATTGATTCTTTGAGTGAAATTCAGGAAAACCCCAGTATAACCCCAGAAGAAACCCTATCACATACATTTGGAAAAACTTAAAAATTAAAATAAATAAAAAAATTATCTTCCATAAAAGATGGTGTAAAATGATATTTTCTACATTAATGATATTATAAATAATGTTGGAAATTTCCTTTCTCTAGAGGAACTCAATGAAAAATTCAACCTAAACGCTCACTTTCTGGAATACTTTAGTATTCGAAAGAGCGTACCATCTGAATGGCATAAAACTATCTCTACTCATGGAAGAAAATTACACATCGTATCCCATGAAATAATTGACTCTATTAAAAAGTTACCAAACCATCCAGATATTTCTACAGAAAATTCCTCCAAGGCCGCACTATATCACCAAACAAAAGTATAGGCAAATGACACGAGAATATTAAAAAGTTCTTAAAAAATGACCTAATATTTAGATCCCCCCTTCCAAGAAACAGATGACACGAAACTGCAGACACTTCAATTTAGAATAAATCACAGAATATTCAGTACCAATGTTTATCTTATGAACATTTTTAAAAAGAATCAGAACAGTGTGAATTTTACAATGCTGCTAGGGAAACTATTCTTCACGTTTTCTGGGACTGCCCACATGTACAGAATGTTTGGACGTGTGTCATTTGTTCCGTAAAACAAAATTTAGGTGTGGTCATTGAGAGATCTCCTGAGATTTTTATACTTGGGCTTGTGCTTGTGCCTACAGTATGATATAAAAGTTTTTTTTATTTACTTATCTTAATAATTAAGAAATATGTTAGTATATGCAAAACGAGAACAGAAATCCCAAAATGGGAAGGAACTAGACAATATGTTAAATACTATCAAAATATTTGTTTATATTCATTATATATGTATACCGACAAAAAACAACACGTTAAAAGAAAATGGGAAAATATTGATCGCATATTACAATTTAATTGACAAGCAACTAGCAAAGGATATACCTCTTAGTATTTCAATTGTAAGGTTAACAACATGAATTGTCTATCTCTATTTCTACCCTTTTATGCAATACTGTAACTGTACGACCTTTTTATACTGAGAAAGTACAAGTATGTAAGTGTATGAGTGTGTGTGTTTGTGTGTGATTCATAAGCCAAAAACTGTAAGATTGTATATTTATTTGCTACTGAATAAAAAAAAAAAAGTTATCCAGAAGAAAGCTAGCAGGTTAGGCTTAATATCTATAAATCACCCTAATCCATAGATGCATACATACAGCCAAATATAAAAACTGATATGTATATTGCAAGTAACTGCTCAAATGGTTACACGAGTCTTCCAAGCAAGATTGTTATAGGCAAAGCAATGTATACATAACCATAGGCAACTCAAAGCTTTACACCTATTTTGAGGTGAGATAGCAATTGGTATGGGGCATGGCTTCATCCCTGAACATGATTTTATCATGAAAATTGGCAGAGTTGACCAGGATTGTATAGGCTACAATCTCATGTCGTCATTTTGGTTAAAATGTTTTATGTTATGTTATGAGCCCCTCATTACAGATATTCATTTAACAAAGGCATTGTTTTGCTATCTCACCAATAAAATCTAAAAATAAGACTTTTAAGAAAAATCGCTGGCAGGATTTTGGAATACTAAATGGTGTCATTAAATCAGCGTTGAAACAGAGATCATAGGTGCTCAGGTAAAAGAGAAATTTTTCAGTTTTTACCCTAAAATCGCAATTATGTCATCACCCGTGAGATGACATATGTGTAAATGTTAATTTAGTCATTGAACACTGAAAATTTATTTATTACCCAAAAGAATGTACGTAAGGCAGTAAATAAGGAGTTTTTGGCAAAAGGTAACAATATCTTTAACACTTTAACTAAATCTGAGGAAACCACATTTATAACAAAAATATGCAAAATAACTTCATAAAAAATAAACTAATCAAGATAATTCTCAAACTTGATCTATATATCAGGCCTTTGAATCAGTCCTGCAAGTTTCTCTTTCATTCCATTTCCCAATCTACCTCTCCAGATTCCTATAAACTTGTTATATATTTGAAGGCTTTCGTCTTACCAGTCACAAAGAGGTTCTATACCAAATGGAAAGGGTCATCTATAAAACCCCTTCCTCTGAGAGGTAAGCTTTGATAATTGTGCCCTTTGGGCTGCTCTAACATGGGATCACAACATTGGCAAACCTGCTTCAATTAAACAAATCAGGTGAAGATGAGTGCTCCATACACCCAGTAAAGTTTTGACAGTCATCATATACATAGCCTCTACATTGCTTACTGTAAGCAATTGCCTAGCCAAGACACGCAGCTCTATAAGATCACCGGTAAAAATGCCACTTCAAACACTTTTCTTTTGACCCAACAAAGGAAATCTACATTTCTGTACATGTTCATGAATGCAACAAATTTCCACACATAGCATCTCTTTTGTCTATACTGGTTATCTAACACATGGCCATCTTGTGTGAATGTAGCTCCAAGATAGGATTTATAATTCTTAACCTCAATATCACCAATCCTTATAGGGGCTTTATCACCAAACTCTCAATTAATGACCATAAATTTAGTTTTAAATTGATCCCAACCCCCAAATTTTTACAAAAATTGACAATGATACCCATTTTCTAATTGCTTCCTCTCTACTCATTGCAAGGAGGATCGTATCATCCATTAACAGTAACAAGTGGAGATTCTGTATAAATCCATTTGGTTTACATCTGATTAACTGGTTAACATACAAACAAAACAGTAAAAAATCTTTCTCCTTTTTACTATTGTTGAACCTGGAACTTATTCATTATGTTAAACTTTTACCTGATGGAATTCTTGCCAGAAACATTATCACCAGTGAGTAAGAAAACCCTAATAACAAGTAGCCAAAAGCTGAGAGAATGAGGCACAGAATCAGTGCATGTCTGTGACCTGAAACATCACTCCACTTGCCCTGGAAAGGAGAAATAAAGGACACAGTGAGAAAAGGGGAATGCAGGTTCGATTTATCAATCTGCCAAGGCCAAATTGATATTTCAATCCTGCCTAAGGCAATTTAAAACCTGAATTGACTTAAATTTTGCCTAGACCTATTTAAAATCTGTTCGCATTTCAATCTGATCTGCAACATATCATGTTCTTTGAGACAATACAGCTCTTCTAGAGCTTTGAAATTGATGTCCATGCATATTGTAAGGAATGCTAGACAATGATGCATGTTAATTTTACATTTAGATAATTGCAAGATAATGGCATAACACAGTGGTGCTCTGCTGCACTACATGTAATAGTAGAGACTAGGGTGATAAGCTCTGCCACTGAGCACATTTGAAGAAATAAAGCAAAGAGTTTACTGCCACATGGTTGTAAACAGAAGTCATATAGAAAGTATATATTTTGAATCATCCAGTTACATTATACTGAGATAATAAGAAAATTTACTGACTTAGGCAAACTCATCATTATGTGTGGAAGACATTGAATACTTACAACAATGGGACCAGCAACAAACTGCAGAGTGCCATATAAGGAACCTTCAAAATAATGTTTCAAAAATACATAATAAAAATATACTTTGAACACAGCTGTCAGTTTGTAATCAAGTACAATGAAGACAATATTACTCATGCATTATTCTTTAAAGGGCCACTCCACAAATGAGTTTTCGTTAGGTAAAGAGCAATTTCTCCAACACAATTTAATCTAATTTAAATTGAATTTTTGCTTGACCCATCCCAGCACTTGGATTTGATGTTTTATTTCATTTTTACTTAATAAGCACTTTAGTTTGAAATAAATGGCTAGTCAAATAGAACTGCTGTCAGGCGCATTGCCTCGTTTTTTCACAAGAAAATGGCAGGCAGTTTTGTAGCATGGCTCTGTGCTGTGTACAATACACACATTGCAGGCTGACAATGGTTACATAAGAAGATAATAATGACACAAGGTAGGCTTGAGATAAACTTTTATTTAAAGGATTTTGTCTTAAGAGTTTGAATTGGGAAATAAAAAGCTTGACAGGAAATAAATATGACAGTGGAGGACTTTCAAATGCTAGGAGAGAATCTCTAAAAGTTCATTTTGGCAGGAAAATCTGGCAGAGTGGCCCTTCAACGTATGAAGTTCAATAAGTGCAAATTTTGATAATACTGTAGCTTGTGTGCCATGGGTGTCACGTTGTTAAGTATTATTAGAATGTCAAACAGCAGTTAACTTACCCAACATCCCTATAACAGTGGAAGAGGCCCCCAGGTCCATTGCATAGCTGGAGAGTAACGGCAGGAAAAGGCTCACACCAAACAAGTCCTACATTAGATGAAACAAATAACAATTTATAAAAACTAACACACATACACACACATTTATCACAAGACATATTGTGATTCATTGGCAATGGCTGATTGTCCTAAAACAGTTGCTGTTTAATCAACTTGGATTTCTCAGCTAGTAAAAAATAAAATGGATGATGAATTTCATATGCCAGCTTTGAAATGAAAGGAATTTGTGCAGTTTTTTTCTTTTTTTTTTTTTAATAAAAAAAAAAACAAGGTCTGTTATTCATAATTTGAGTGATAAGAAAACCTGGAACAAACTTAATTCAGTGCAAGCCCACTATTATCTATAAGATGAGACCAGACTGAAAATCAAAACAGACCAAATTTTCAAAAACAAAGAAAAAATAAATAAGACTTAAAAAAAAAAAAAAAATTGAAAAAGCATTGGTAGCCATAGTTACCCCTCCCTCAAAAACAAACAAGCAAACAGACAGACAGACAACAGGCATGCAGATAGCGGACAGACAGACAGCAGGCATGCAGACAGTGGGCAGACAGACAACAGACAAACAAACAAACAGACAGACAAACAGATAAACAAACATACAAACATACAGACAGACAAACAAACAAACGTCAATCCACACGCCGATAGTAAACCTGGCGTCCATATTATACTACTCAGATAGCTTTATTCATTAAATAGGTTGTAGAGAAATGCTACAAAAGAAAGTAATGAAGAGTTCAAACATATTTTGTCTGGAGAGTCTATTATCTGAGCACAATAACAATGTTTAAAACATAAAATGACACATAAATGGCCTTAATCAACATCGCAAAATATAATCGCTTTCACTGTCACCTGTCTAACCCTGGTAGTCAGCCATTTTGACACTGTTTGAAATAATGCGGGTTCTCGAGTCAGATCCAAGATGTAAAAAACAGAAAACGAGCAGTGGAGAACATGGACGTAAAGATCGAGGAAGAGGAAAATGTGTTATGAACTTTTGCAGGTCACAAGTGAGTTATATTCACTACAAGTACAATGTAGTTTACAGATAGGGAAGGTGGTGGAGAAATCAAAATGTCTGACAGGGGAAGTCAAGTAGCTTAAATAATCAGAAAACATTTCCAAATGTAACGTGCTTACAGTCCCCGAACCACTCACAATGAGTTCTGTTTGCAAGACACTGTAAATATAATGAAATTCTGTGGCTCACAGTTTACACTAACAGAAGAAGTCAAATCATCTGAAGCCCATCATAAAATGCACAAATCTTTATTGTTATGAAAGATCGGGGATAAAAATGCAACATTTTGAATGCAGGGATTGCACTTTGCCCTTCAATGTGGTCATCTACCAGTACTTACCTCACATCAGATCCTCATGAGATACATTGTAACTCGCATACTACATGTAGTAGGGGTATTTTTTTGTACAACATGTACAACAATTTTTTTGTACAACAAGGATCTAACGTATAAATTTAAGAATATTTTAGTGAATTTTATTATGAAGATTTGAATTACTTAGCCTTTTAGAGGAGGAATTGGGCAATACTCCCCTTCGAGCAAGAGTGGAGAGATCAGGTATGTTAAATATTTTAATCAGAGCCACAGGTTGATTTTTCATCTGTTATCTGACATGATGTGTGATTATGTAATTTCATCCTTAATGATTTAATCCACCTATAGTTGTTTCTCTTAGAATTACCATTTTTAGTATAATTATATTATGTATATTGCAACTTTTGGTTGCAAATAAATTTAATAATTATAATTAATAATATATTATTATTTCTATTTACAAAGTATAAGTTGTAGTGTCAATATACTGTTTATAATTCTAGTAATAACTGGATAGAGATTGTGAATAAAATATAGTAGTAAAAACATCCAAACATCTTTTCCTTGTTTAAGCAAAATGGATGTATACATGAGCACTGTAGATCAACAAATTACCCCCTCTCCTTCACTGTAATGACCCATTAGAGCTAGTAACAACAGTTTCCATACAAAAGGGTATGGCATGAAAAGGGCCTAACATGACAAATACAAATAATGTTTCATAAGTAAAATATACATAATATTATTCAAAGACATGCAAGGAACAAAAGGGTATAAATATTTCTTTAAAAAAAGTTTGACTCACTAACATAAAATTAAAATTGTCATGGCCGAGTGGGCAACTGAATACAGGCACAAGTGTTAACTAAAACCATTCTAGTAGGTCTAACAAAACATGACATACAATCATTTTATTTACTGAGTACGGAATATTATGCTGTTACAAACTTAGAAGTTAAACTAGCTGCAAAATTGGGAAATTGGTAACATAATTCTGCATCTGGTGAACTGGTGATCTTACATAATCTGACAACACACTGGTTTGAAGTCTGGTTGAAGTCACAATATGCCACCAGTACCTTTCCATACATAACATGGAGTCAAGATTTAAAAAGTAATAATGGACCAAAAATTGTTTCTTCATATAACATATAGGGAGGGAAGACCACCCTGACTTTCAATTTAAACAAGGCAGCAAAGCTGTCAAATGTACAGACAAAAAACAGAAAATAAATATGCAAAAAATAGGTCATTTTGTCAATTTTGATGCAATAATAAATAATGCTGTCAATCAACACTGAATTTTAATCATGAACAACAGATAACATGGTCAATAACAGGAGCGAACAGGAGAGATATTTTCTGACAGTATTCCAAGTTATCTTTGCTGATCCATCCTCTATTTTGATGGTCTTCCAACAGTTAAAAATAGATACCCGTCAATGTAAACATTAAAATCTGACCATCTTCCAGAAGGCCCAGAAGACAGTCTCAATCCGCCCCTGCAATAAGAGTACAGTTTCAGGGCCATGAGAGTTCAAATTCACATAATGAAAATCACAATATGTGAAAAATGATGACAGTGCATAAAATAATATTACATAATGTTTAAAGACATAAAAATCAATACAATTGCTCATGTGGAAATACAGAAAATGCACAGCACTTCTGGTGGATGGAAGTTAAAAGTCACATCTTGAAGATGCTAGTGTTTGAAAAATAATTTTAAAAGAATTTTAAATAAAACATAAAAAATTCCAATAAAGCTGCTATTCAAACTTTTAATCTAGCTTTATTAACTTGATATGAATAACCCCACCGAGTTTGAGAAAAATAAAGCACTGTTATTCATCTATAGCATGTTGGCATAACACATTTTTTTCTGTTGTAAATTTATTTGCAATATCAAACACCATTTATCTGCATAATTATCACCAAATCCTAATTATGTGACTCAGTTAAGAGAGCTAAACCTATGGGACTTTACAGGGAAATCTCAACGAGTGTTTTATGTAATCTCATTTAATGGCCAATTGAAAATTAATGAGTAGGCAAGTGACTTTATAGACCTTAAATTAGTGATCACCCAAGGGACAATTTCATAGACTACCATCCATACAGTACCATCATATAGCACTCTATAGAACTGCATTGCTTACAAAACAAAACAATTACACCGATTTTCCGACACAAGCTGCACTTTTCAGTATGCACCATAAGTAAGTAACATGGTTTTCCCTTGATGGTCATAAGTGTCTAAAATAGTTTTTTTTTCATTTTGATGCAATATTTCATAATGCTTAACAGTATAATAACCATCAATTTTTAATAATAAAATAAAAGTATCATGGATGTTCAGAAAATGTGACATGAAAAGGTCTTCAAGGCCATGGAAGTTAAGAGTCACACCTTCAAAATGCCAAAATGTACACAAGAGACAACTGTACTGAAATGATTTTCTTACCATTTTCAGCACCTTTTTTACATAAAACAAAATAATCTATTTACTGTCAATTTTAAATGATCGACTAAAAAATTGTTGACATAAGAAAAATATCAATGGAACAACTTTAAATGTCCAAATTGCTCCATTCTGAGATTCTGAACATAGTGAATGATTGAATCTGACAAACTGTAAAGATATGAGTTTTTTCCCATTTTTGACACTTTATTACACAATACACAATAACAGGTTTACCATAATTTTTGAATAATCAACTGACAATATTGTTAAGATGCAGAAAATGTCAAAAGAACAACTTTACATATCTAATTAGTTCAAAAATGAGACTGTTAACATGCCTGAGAATTAAATTTGAGGAAAAACACTTATATACAAATAAAGGCATAACTTCATCAAAACTAACTGATCAAGCTTATTTTCAAAACTTAATCTGTATTTTAGTAACATTGATCACTCCTGTGAATTTCAAGACAATTGGCCAATCAATTTTCTTTAAAATGTTATAGGTATTGCATACATGCTGAAAAAAGTGAAAAAAACAGCATAACTTCCATAAAAATGGCCCCATCATACCAATTTTCGAACTTGACCAGCATATTNAAAAATAAATTTAAAAGCCAAAAAATAAAATTTAAGAAAAAACCTTTAAAAAAAAAAAAAAAAAAAAAGGCATCACCAAAACTAACTGATCAAGCTTATTTTCAAAACTTAATCTGTATTTTAGTAACATTGATCACTCCTGTGAATTTCAAGACAATTGGCCAATCAATTTTCTTTAAAATGTTATAGGTATTGCATACATGCTGAAAAAAGTGAAAAAAACAGCATAACTTCCATAAAAATGGCCCCATCATACCAATTTTCGAACTTGACCAGCATATTATGAATATTCATCAGTTCTATAAATTTCAATCCAAAAGGTAAAATGGTTTTTCACTTATTGTGTTATCGGTGTTGCATATATGCTGAAAAAAGTGAAAAAACAGCATAACTTCCATGAAAATGGCCCCATCATGCTGATTTTCGAACTTGACTTGCGTATTATAAATATTCATCAGTTCTGTAAGTTTCAAACCAAATGGTAAAATGGTTTTCCACTTATCGTGTTATCAGTAAAAGTGCACGGTGACGACAGACGCAGGTGATGGCTATATGTACAGACACATCTGTGTCTGTACATAAAAAATGGTCCATTACTTACTTTTTAAATGTTGACAGCT